CTCTCTCTCTCTCTCTCTCTCTCGCCGTGCCACCTTCGGACGTGGGAGCGAAAGAGATGAAAACCGAAAACGCGTGTAACAACCTCGGCGGTGTGGACGAAGAGCAAACCCACAGAGAGAAGGAGAAAGGAGAAGGGGGGAAGAGCGGAGGGCAGAGAAAGAGAGGAATGGGACAAGGAGAGAGAGAGAGAGAGAGAGAGAGAGAGAGAGAGAGAGAGAGAGAGAGAGAGAGAGAGAGAGAGAGAGAGAAATACCTCCGCGATGCTCAAGATATAGAATATCAACAATAGTCGTTGATCACTAGACCTCGCTTGTCCACAGATTTGCAAATGGCATGCTTGCCACTGAATATGCGACGCTTGCGCTTCAGAATCGCTCAGCCGAAGCAATGCCGATGCTCTGCGTCACGTACGAGGGGTGTTCCGCGCCAAAGGCACGAAAAGTGCTCATGCCTAGGCAACAAGCAAGCAGCCCATCAGTCCGTCGACGACCAGACAGAGGAGGACATTAGCAGCTCGTGCTACTAGCTATGGTAGCCAGTTCATCGTATCTCGGGCATTCTCGCGGTCGTCCTCCTTCCTCTCCCGTGAGTGAGAAAATATGTGAGACTGAGGTTCTAAAACTCCATCTGGTGGATTCGTCACATTCTAAGGAAATCTGTGCAACTGACAATTCCGAAGTCCCGCCTGAAGGTTGGTCACATTCGGACACCTGGGGCCTCGCAGCACTACTCTCCACATGCACAAAAGACAAAAAAGATGGCAATGTATCTTTCCACATTCTAGCAGAACATTCAGTACCATTTTGCTCATTCGTAGAGTAGTGCAGCGAGGCCCCTGAAGGTTGGTCACATTTGGACACCTGTGCAGGCGACAGCGACATCATGGCCCTACGGTGGCCCGTATTCCGACGAATCTGGCCGAAGGTACGGCCGCATGCAGCCAGAGAAATCCCTACTACTGGTCGGTAGCGGTCGGGATGCTCACTGCCTATGCAGGCGAACGGACATCAACCACAGCGACATGTGCCCTGCGGTAGCCCGTATTCCGACGAATCAGGCCGGAGTTACTGTCGCATGCAGAGAGAGAAATCCGGTCGGTAGGGGTCGCGATGCACGCTCCCTGCCTCATCTCCTAAAGTATGGATCGAATTTTCCCTTTGGGCTTTTTGTTATCATGATAATTTGCGAAATACCCCTATAAGTTGAGATAATGCCAAAATGCCCCTAAAAAATGTGGGTAGAGCAGAATACCCCTCTGACGCAAAAAATGTCTTGCGAAATGCCCCTGGCGTCGGTTTGACCTGCCATCTTTGCAAAACACCCCTACTGGGTACTGTCCTTCTTTGCAAAATGTCTCGGTACTTGCCAACTTTTCCTGGCCCTATTTATTTTTGTTTTACCCTACCAGCCCAGGGCATCTTTGCGTTTTGCCCCATGGCCGTTGGTTGCCTCGAAAAAAAAACACGCATGGTCATTACGGCTGCAATTTTTGGAGCAGCTTTCGGTCTAGATACACAGATAATGGACGTGCGTTCTTCAGGGGAAGGCTCTGTCATTTTACCAATGGCACTGTGTGTGTGTGTGTGTGTGTGTGTGTGTGTGAGAGAGAGAGAGAGAGAGAGAGAGAGAGGCAGAGGCTTCGAAGGACTGGTGGGAAGGAGGATGTCAGAGATGGCAAACGAGGAGAACTTGGAGGAATGGTGGGTGAGGAGTTGGAGAGGGGCAAACTTACCAGGGCGAAGCTGCAGAACACAGCGTGACACTTCGAACGACTTCGAAAGTCTGGACCACGAAGGCAAACTGTCGCGCCTATGGGCCTGGGTATTGCGCAAAGTTGCCTACCCGGTATGGAGGGCAAACCAGGTAAACAGGGTGCAGGCCAAGGGCCCAACGATGCAATCCAGGTTGCAAATTTGCGCACCGGCCTGGTAGGGGCAAAACACACAGAATTGGGCCCAAAAGAGCATTCCGCTCTACCCACATCTTTTAGGGGCATTTTGGCATATATCTAAACTTATAGGGGTATTTCACAAATAATCGCAATGTTTTACAAGAAAAACCTGTTCATTTTATTCCAATACAAGAAAAAGGGGCACAGCTGGAGCACCCCCCCAGACCGCAGAACCCCCTCACAGACTAAAGAGGAAGTACTCCGCCAGTCCCTTTTTAAACCACCAGTACCTCGCTCAGCTATTGAATCCGAGCCTCCCAGCACGCTGCGCGCCAAGTCCTACTGAACCGCCGTCGCAATTTTCTTTTTCGTTTTGCCTGCGGCCTCCAGCCAATGTGGTCCAGCAGGCCGAAGCCCAAATGGCGCGGCGGGTATACGGGAAGCGCCGCGGCCGATAGCTGGGCCAGGTACTGGTGGTTTAATGTAAAGATGGAGGAATTTGCAGCGAACTCGATGCCTGCTTCATTTGGAAAAGCTTGGATTCTATGGGGGATTACAACCATTGCGGATTTGTGGTCCCCACTCCTAGGATAAACGAGTCACTGGAGGACGTTCATACTCACTTATGTGACTCTCATGAGCATGTTTCTCTCAACAAGGGAAATCTACTGCATGCATCCACCTTTCACAAAATAAGCGAAGCTTATGTATCACACATGGGGAGTTACAAACGTACACCGCAGTCACTAGCTTCAAACTCTCTTACAAGCAGAAGAGTGTTACGAGTGTGTTATGCGCATTCACTCGTTCAGACATACTAAGTATAAAAGTTCGAATTCACACCATCCACTACTTGAGCATACAAAAATCGACAGTGGACGCTGTGACGCCCAACCTCACGCCCAGCGTGACTTCCTGATCGGAGTAGAATGTGGGCCTGGAAGTGCGAAAAAGGGGTGTGCCAAGGATTTTTGGGAAAGTGGGGGTGGAGTCCCAGGTCAGAACTAAGATCTCCTGTGGCAGAGTTTTTCGGGGGCACGGGTGCAATTTGGCAGAGAGGGCGGACCACTTTTGGTCACAAGGCAGATGGCATGCGCGGGTCATTCAAGACCGTGCGATCCATTTGTTTTGAGGACGGCGGTTCATCGAAGGGTCCCTTCGGGGTGGGTGTGATCCCGATGAGTTCGGTCGTTGGTTGTCGCCACGTGGGGCCGGTCGTCGTACGTTCTGGTTGGACCCTCGCAGTCCCGAGGCTCTCTGCTTGCCGTGTTGTCGGCAATTTCCGCAAGGCGTGCGGGGCCAGTAGGGCGCTATGGCTTTCCACGGGATGACCCTGAGTTGATGATATGGGAGAAGAAGACGAAAGGGAGAGAAGTTAGTGGAGATAACGACAAAGCCAGGGGAAATAAAGTAGTGGGTGTGGTCCGCGGTGGGGAAATCAGAGCACCGGGGGTCGCGTGACACGTAACCTCAGTCAGGTGGCTCTTTCTCTATGTTCGTCGTCGTTCCGTATGCGGTAGTGGAAGCCCTTGGATTCGTAGCGCTCGAAACGCTGGCACTCAGTGCACAAAGTGCGAGGCCAGTGGGGTTCCACTGCCGTCCACGGAATGACGGTCAACTCGTTAAAGGGCAACAATATCGAGTAAGACGGGAAGTGAGTATCGATAATGACAAATGCAGCATCCACAAATCTCGAGCAATGATTTTCATGAGGGAAGTAATATCGTCCGTCGATCCGTTGGACAGCTTCTCGTACGTCCCACTCGCATACACGTGTCCTTTCCTCGTCGTAAGGAAAAGGTAGCGTCGGGACGGGAAATACGGGAGGCTGGCGGCCGATCGAAGGGTGTTCGTCAGTCCACATGTCAATCAATTGCAAAAATCCCGAGACATCATCAAGGGAAAACAACACCCGCACAACAACCAATCAATTTTTTTCGACACGAGAGAGAGACCACTTATCAGTTTGATCATGCTCTTAACCGAGGGAACGACCCGCGACTCAGGTTTAGTAAGCCGACGCGGCGTTGATCCGAGGCACCTTGTTTTTCGAGGCTGCCCCGTAGATCGGTTGCAGATGCCGTGCAACATAAGGCAGATGGCATGCGCGGTGCATTCAGAACCACAGATCTAAACACTCTTGCATTCTCGAACAAAATCCCATCGAGCTTTGAGTCTAATCAATGCAAAAAGACAAGCATCTACATACATACACCCACTGTGGAAGGTACGAAAATGACCAGGGGTGCATAGGGCAGAAATCGACCGAGGGAATTGTACACACGCATCCACCTTTTTCAAGACAAGAGGATCAATTCCTCGACATTTGGGGATTACCCAGGAAACTAATGAAAGTGTTCCGGAAGAAGTTCCTTCGCACAGAGAAGCACACAAGTTCATTCTCATTCACGTGAAGGACAAGCTCATGACACAACGTCATTCAACTCAGATAAAGAGAAAAGAGAGAGAGAGAGAGAGAGAGAGAGAGAGAGAGAGAGAGAGAGAGAGAGAGATGCCAAGATAAGAGATACGGAGATCCGAAAGAAGACAGTCGGCGTTGCAGCCGTGCACTCACACCAAAAGATAA